TTTGTTAAATTACCGAAAGGAAAAAAGTTATGATTCTCAGGGACATGACTTTCTGCATTGACTTGCAAGAATTTTTCCTCAATTATTAAGGATTTGGGGATTTTGTTTCCAATTTTCAATGACATTATCACTAATTTCCAGAGTAATGTCGCATTGGCTTTAATTTAAAAATCTTTCATCCAATGCCTCAAATTTAAACAAAATGATGACAATTCACTGGCAAAAGTTTTTTTCTTCCAAAAACTTTAGAAATATAAAGTTAAAATTTATGCAAATAAAATAGTCGAGAAAACTCATCCTTGAAATATAAAAACCCTCATCTTCCCTTGGTATTTACCAACACTCAAGAAATATGTCACCATTTGTTGAAATCCAGTGTTATAATACTAAAAAAAAACAATTCAGTAAAAATTTTTCGTTTTTTCCTGATAAAACAACTCAAGAAAAAATACAGAAAACAAATCCTCCTCTTGACCTCAAGCAGTTAGAGGAGAAAGAATCGTCCGATATTGCGACGAAGCAGACAATTTTAATATTTTCCCAGTGCATCCCTTTCCTCACGAAGATTTACACAATTTTATTGCGCGAACGCTATTCAATTACCCTGTGAGCCCTCTCAAAACCACATAAACATAACTTGTTGCTGGGAAAAGCCACCTAATATTGAATTTCACATGTTCAATTCATGTTGAATTTCTTGAATGTGACATGTTCACATGTTCAATTTCATATCATCCCGTTCATGTTCGACAAGCTCGCAGTGCCTCTGAAATAACCATCAAAGTATTTCTGATTAATTACAATAAATTGTACCCCTCCCTGAGCATGAATGTTGACTGACGAGTCTGTGAAAGCGTCCCATTTCAAAACTTTCCGACGCGCTCAAAAACTTCCACCCCCGGTGCAACCCACTGGCGAACGTCAGAGATCGCCTAGATTCTTCGATCGTCCAGGAAACGAACAGAATAACACGAAATGAATTTAAAAATATCGGGAAGTTAACAAGTCAAACTGGAACATTTTTAATGGAAACAAGCTAAAAGATGGTTTTCGGAAATCACGGGAATTTCTATTGAGGAGTTTCAATAAATAACAAATAACAAATGTTACAAACATATTGTATGCATAGTATTAAGTACTTTTGTCTAAATTTGTTATGTTATATCCTGGAAATTTTCAACAAGTGATTGTTCTAATGGAATTCAGTATTTACAATTTCCACTGAAATTTGAAGGAAATTTGTTATTGAAAATTCATAATTTCATGGAAAAATCCGTGGAAACTGTTAATTTCAGTTCACTTATTCCGGGAAAATTAATGAAAAATCAGGAAAATTAAAAGGAAGTTAACAATGAATATTAATTTCTATTGGAAAATTCATGTGAATTGTGGAATTTCCGTTTTCGTGTCACTAAAAAAAAATTGGGACTTTACTTGAATTTTCAGAAATACTTGAAATTCCATTCACTTTTTCCGCTTAAATCGAATACAAGGTCTTTTTTCGATAAACTCAGCCCAATTTGATAACAGTGTTTGAAATCACGTCATTAAGAAATATTTTTTAAAATTCTTATTATTATTCGACGGTATAAATGAAAATATATCACCGAATTTTCAGAACATTAATAGAATTCGTAGAATGCAATTCAGTTATTCTCTGACAATTAAAAAGAAATGAGTTAATGTAATTTAATTTAAGTTAATTGTGAAATTTCTGTCTCACTTCTACTTGAAATTTGAAATTTAATGACCTTTTATTCTCTCTAAATCAAATCCAATATCAACATCAATTCAATATCTCTGGAAATTACCACTATTTGTTTACAAAATTCCACTCTTTTCAATCCTTTACAAATGAAAAAAATCTTCCTAAAAAAAATTCCCTAACCTTTGAAAAATACTTAAAAATCTGTTTCTCGCTAGGACTAGAAAAAATATATTTGACGACTTCTTTTCCAGTACTAATTTTAACTTTTCGCACAGAAAAAAAAACCTACAACATGAAACTCTCGGATTAAAAGTTCCAAATATCCAAAACTGTTGCAAAAAATCATCAAGTAGTACGAATGGACATCAGAGCCGCCCTCCATAATTCATATTAAACAGATTGAAAATCCAGGAGAGAGAGCAATTGACGCAGGCCTCTCGGGTTGCATTCGCCGAGGCCACGGTCTTAACTCGATTACAATCGATAACCTATATCAGAGAAGGGGTATGTCACTGTAACCAGTCAGCTGTCTTTCTATTCATCAGCGATTAGTGTCCACTACCCTCATCAAGTTATCCATCCGCGTCGCTTAATTTCTACCCTAAAAACCCTCAAATCTCATAACAACAAACTCGGAACCTACAATATCGCCTTCTCGTAGCGCGCGGCGATCGATGTGCTGCATTGCTGACGCGAAGCCAAGTCGGAAGATGCGACAAATGGTGCCAACGACGCGCAACTGGTGATACTTGAGTAATTAAAGGACGAGGGAAGGCGAAAAGAAGTTTGAAACATCCTTTGATCAATCATTCAGTCATCACAGCGACAAAAAGTTTTCATTTTCAGGGAGATGTCACTGATTTTCAGAAACATCTCACTGATTTCAGTGACGACGCGATAAAATGGCTCAAGTCGATTAAACCCTTGGCTGACTTTTCGAGGAATATCCCCGAATCTAAGGGAGACAACAAAATTTTCGTAGTGATCTTTTTTGTGGGGCGAATTAAGAGCTACAAAAAAGGTTATGACAAAAATTTCGCTATCCCCTTGTGAAACGGAGCCCCTATGTCTATTTGAACTTTTAGAATTGTATTTTCTCCTGCAATTATTATTTTTTACTCATGAAACAACTTAATTGACTCAACAATGCAATTATGGAGTCGATAAAGTAGTTTCATAGATAAAAATTTATAATTGCAGGAGAAAACGCAATTCCAAAAGTTCATATGGGCACAAGGCTTCTGTTTCCCCTTAAGGATGTCCAAGTATTTTGGCTACTCATTCTCCAGTGAAATGCTTTTCTACTTTTGCAGTCGAACATCAGAACGTTCATTTGACCCTCATTTAACTCTAAGTTTTGGGACATTTTACAATGATTTTATTATTTAAACTTTGCAGATCTCAATTGGAATCTCGATATTGAATCGTGAGGAAACATTTCAAAAAACTGAAGAAAAAACTAGAAAGTTTACTTTCGCAAGAAGATTGATGAAATAATTTGAAAATTACAATTTTTGAAAATTCCGAGCATTTTCTATAAGTAATTTATAAACAATCAATCTTTCACCGTCAAAATCATTTCCTGGGACATGTCACAGAGTTCCAGTAATGATTGGTGATACTGAATATTGGCTAGAATGGCTCCGATTATAGGCGATCTTTATCACTAAAATTTGGTGATAGATTCCTAAAAGTTAGAAATGGAGTGCCACAGCTCTGAAAATTAGGGATGGTTTTGAAAATCAGTGCAATTCCCCTGAAAATTAGATAATGGCCCTAAGAATTACGCCGTCGCTGGGAATTATGTAATTTACATCAGACAGCGACAGTTTCCGATGTCCTAATTGAATACATTAAAGGGTCGTAAAGTATACCTGGACCCCTAACTGCTTTATGACCCCTCATTGTAACCCCCATCCCCTGCTCGTCACACTTGAGAACCCCAACGCGGCCAGTAGATGACGCTTGAGCAGAACGTCGGAAATTAGTAAGAAAATGTTGGCGATACCGCAAAAATTGGAGCGTCTTGAATATATCTCGGGAATTATTAATGCAGTTTTCATGGAATAAAATGTCACAATTATATGGTTTTGGTATCAATTAGGCATTTTGGCATTATTTGAATCAATGTCATAAATAAGAGGAGAAAAATGAATGATCGCGACCGACGATTGACCTCACTTTATTCTTGCCACACTGATAGAACGGTTTAGTCGAACCAAACGAGACTTTTTAACTATTACCACGATTCGTTAACTATTAACGAATCGCGGTAATAGTTAAGAAGCCTCGTTTGGTGCAACTGAATCGTTCCACCTTTCTATCAGTGTACTGGACCGAAAGTAGCACCGCATAGTGAGTCAACTATGAAGTGCAGGGAAATGTGACGTCATTATCCCCTTCCCACATGGTGGAATTACTAGCGGTGAGCTTTTTGGGCACTAAAAAAGTCATTTCAATAAGTCCCTCATAAAAAAGGATCGCATTCTTCTCTTTTTTATACCATTACTCATGTCAAATTATGTCTAGATTCGAAGTGATACTCCGCAAATTCCTCATTTTTATAACAAAGAAGTTGATTGAAAAATAACCATTTCAAAACGCTCAGATAACGTAAAATGACGTCACAGGTCTGGTCGAGAGGATTAGTGGACCAAACGTCATAAATAAATGAGAAAAATGAATGACCGCCACCGATGATTAACCTCACTTTATTCTTGACACTGGAGCGAAAGTAGCGCCGCATAGTGAGTCAACTACGAACTGCAGGGAGGTGTGACGTCATTATCCCCTCCCCGCGAAAATTTTGACGATAAAATTCAGTAGTGAAGCGGTAAACCGGGTTAAGTCGATTTTGACTATTGGCCAGTTTTTGACGAATATCTCGGAATCTAAAAGAGATAAAAATTTTGTTGTCATGACCTTTTTTGTAGAGCCAATTGAGGGTTACAAAAAAGGTCATGGGAAAATTCTGCCATCTCTCTTAGATTCCGAGATATTCATCAAAAACTGACCCAAAGTCAAAATCTACTTAACCCGGTGTACCGCTTCGCTACTGAATTGTGGAATTTCTAACGTAAGCCCCTTGTGAACTCTAAAAAAAATATAATTTCAATAAGTTCCTCGTAAAAAAAAATTATAGGAAATATCCCTATCAAGGCGAGCGGCCTTGCAGACTGCAGTGGAGAGCGCAGAACACGGGAAAAACTTGGGGAATATGCGAGTGAGAGGAGCTGAATAATGTGAGAGACGGGAAAATAAGAAAGTTGAAGCGCTTTGTGTACAAACTCACCTGGCACCGCCCGAGGGACACTATGTGCAGTTGAATCTCCTGAATTTTGCCCAGTATGTCGGAATTCTAAAAATAATAATGATTATCATGACATTACATCGATTCTCGTCCCTGGCAACGCTGGTATTATCACAATTCCATGCAATTATTTAATTGCTGATTTTGTGATTGGAGGTTTTTTCGTCTAGGAGTTGACTACTTACGTTTGGCTCGTCCTTGAGTCTCCCGACACATATCTGTGGATTAACCAATAATAAATAGTTAGTTTGAGATATTCGGTGGGCTATCTTCTGTTGGAATGCCCAATATTACGCAATGGTGGTGTTTAATTACGTAAAGTGGGTGAATATGTTTGAAATGAAACTCATAAAATTTAAATCGTCTAATTTATCACTTGGAAAATTGAAAGTAGAAAGGAAAAGGTGGAGAAGTGATAAATAATTCACCGAGGGAAAAGTTTGATAACAGTTATCCAGAAAATCGCGGAAAATTCTATCGCACAGCAATAGAAAAGGTCGAAGGATGTAGTTGTTGTTAACGAGGATTCTTAACTATTAACGCCATTTATTAATTTTTAATGAGTCGTGTTAATAATTCTGTCGTCAATTGGCGAACTAGGATAAGAGAACTTTTTCCATAATTTTTTTTGCCCAAATCGGTTTCTCAAATTGATGGCAAGCGATTAAACAAAAGGCAATTGCATCATTATTTTCATTCCCCATTAATTCAATTTGATTAATTCAGGTGAAATGGACAAAAGGTCAATTAAAACTTTCCATAAAACCCCATGCACTCTGAAAAACTCAACTAATCCGCCACTGTCACAGCGGCTGTCCTCCGTGTAATTTCTAAACTTCGTACGCGAAAGTTCAAGATACACGTATCGACACTCACTGCGTTGGAAGCTAATTCATCCCCCCAACTCCACCGTTATAATCCCCTGAATCAACCCCTCACCATTTCTTCAACTCCCGTAAATGAAAAAAAGCCCATAAACAAAACTAGGACCAGAAAAAAGAACTGGTTTCCAACTGTTTCCCGTTCTCTGGCCGAACAAACTCCAAAACTTTAACTCGCCAAACTTGTTGAGAAAATTTCCAAAGTTCAGGTGAGTTTTAGGGGGGCGGGGGGAATAATATATCCCGAATAAACAAGATGATAAACAACAATTGAGATGATTTGAATCAGCCGAGGATTTTGCCATCTTTTCATTAAATTGAAAATTGGTAGATGAGGGAAGTAATGAAACGGGGGACTACCATCTCGGTTGGATCGTCAATTATTGAACTCAGCACTGAAATTATTGAGGAAGTAATAAACATTAATTATTAATGCCACTTGGTTTGCGGAACTCAATGACAATCACATCAGTAGTTGAAGAGAATGAAATAATGGAAATTGTCATCTCACAGGTGGATCTATAATTTTACACCAACGACGAAATTACTGAGAAGTAATAGACAGTAATAAATAGTGTCAATTACTCTATTAAAGTAGCTTTAAGATAATTAGCAGCTGAAGGAAATTAATCTATGGAAGTAATCATCTTGGATGGAGCTTGAATTATTAAAACCAATACTCGAACTATTGTGAAAGTAATAGTGATGAACAATACCAATCATTTCATAAAGTTTAAATAACATTGACATCAGTCGCTGACAGGAATGGAACTGTGGCAAAATGATCATCTCAAAATGAATTTAAAAATCGGAAAATTATTGAGGAGGAATGAACAGCAATGAATAATGCCAATTATTTAATTAAACTAAACAGCATCAACATTAGTGGTTCAAGAGAATAAACTCATGGAAATTATTATTTTACATTTTATTGACAAATAATTAATAATAATGGATAATCCCAATCATGGAACTAAATAAAACATCAGAAACTGAAAGAAAATAGAAACATGGACAGTGGAATTTACCATTTCAAATTTAATTTTAAAAATCAGTAAATTATTGAGAAGTAATAGACAATAATTACAGAATAATAATCCGATAAAATTTTCGAATTCTTTGCTGTTTTTTATGTATTCTATGAAAATGTGAGGATAGGAATTGCATTTATGGATATTGGTTAATTATTCGTAGAATTATATCAATTTTGAAGTTTTCCCTAAACATTGAAAAATGAATAATTCTGTTTTCGTGTTGATCTCGTTTCTCTTCCGCTTTTCACTTTTCACTAGAAAAATCGATTTTTAGAATTCGTATCCGATTTTCCTTCCCTACATTTTCCGTATTTCCTGTTTCTGTGAACAGAATACGATCACAGAAATTAAAAATGTCAATCTCCCTTCATTTTTTAATAAGAAAAAAACGATTTGAAAAATTTCGAAAAGACAGAAAAATAGACTTTTTAATTTTATTCATACTGATTGATGATGATCGATCTCTCCTTGCAATTTCCTTCTTCGATTCCATTGAAATGAGATCAAAGGAATGTAAAAAGTATTCATATTCGTGCACATTTTCAGATCATTGGTATTAATTAATTTAAAGAAAAAGAAAGAAATGAAAAATTTTAGGTATGCTTCCCGAAAATTGTTTGTCGATCTGTATTCTCACGTAATTCCTTCTCATTCAATGTTGTAACTTGTGAATTAATGAAATTAAATTCAACTAATTGTGGAGACGCAAATGGAAAGAAAACAAAATAAAATAACATAGTATAGTAATGAATAAATAAAAACAACGACAATAAATAAATAAATAAATAGATAATAGTAATAAACACTGCCAATGATTCAATCAACCCAAACACCATCACCAGCTGAAGAGAGCAAACCCATGAAAATCATCATCTCAGACGAATCTTCAATTTTTAAAACCACCACTCAAATTATTGAGAAAGCAATAAATACAGGGGGGGGGCAGAAGGGGAGAATAAAAGAGTGGAGGACCGTCACGTAGGTTAGGTTCGTTGTATCGAGTGAAGGACGCTAGAGACGACGTGGTGTTGAATACGATGATGGCCGTGTACAAATGGATGCGCAGAGACTCATGTGCGATACAATTAATTTTCGTGTAGAATGGGGTGAGGGGAGGGAGAAATAATTCCTGGAGATTTTAGATGAGTTGTTCGTAGGTACAACAGGGTGTCAGGGGGAGAGGGAGAAGTATTGGCCGAGGTCAACGCATCGGCACCTACATTTAATTTAAAAAACCAATTCCAATTAACATGTTATTGTTTCAGTATTGGTTTTTTCATAATCTTGTTTTCAGTTTATTTCTGTTTTCTCAGTCTTTTGTCTAACGCAACACAATACAAACAAGTTGGGGGGGTCAGATTGTTTTGCGTGGGAAGGGGGTGTTTAGTAGTTTGTGCCCGCGAAATTCGTTGGAAAAACTTTTTCATTGGTAACGAATTGGGGGGGAAATTTCCAGCTGGTGAAGTCCCGTTAGGAAACTCATTTTCTTACTTCGAAGCGACTGATTACAAGTACATGTCCGAATGGATGAGATAATGCAAGCGAATTGTTTTATCATGACCGAGGGAATCGATGAAAGTGATTCATTAATATAGAAATAAGCTGACGAATGTGCTCGGGGCATTTGTCAAATTATAATCGAGTTATAACGCGGAAAAAATGTCAATTGAATTTACCATCGATCCACTCTGACGCAAATCCGAAAAACGCTTGGGAGAGTAATTGTTTGTGTCATGCCGAAGGTAAAACGTAGCATTACGATTGTCTAAAAACTACGTCACACTGTGATTTTTGAGTTGATTCGCTGGGGGAATGGTAGCTAAACTGCATTGAAACAAAAAATCGGGGCTCAAGGATAACGGGGATAAAAAAATACTGGCAAATGAAAAATAGTATTGTACCCGAAACTCACCTGGTGATCGCGAATGGCATTTTTCAGTCTGTTCTGCACCAAAATAATTTCCTCCTGCAGGCCCTTCGATATCTCCATAATGCACGTGATTTCAGGGGGGAAAAAATTGTCGCAATTTTTTTTCAGATTAAACTCCTTATCCCCGATGAAAACCGAAAAAAACACGCGTGTGTCTAGCGCGCACTTACACAGTTGCAGTAAAAGCCCAACACAATGTCACACAAGAGCGACGAGAGTTTTATGCTTAATAAAAAAAAAACACACTGAGCCGACTCAATGAATTTCAATGTATCTAAACATGTGTGAAATAGTTGAATATCGTTGTGACAAACATTTTGTTATAAAATTTATATTCACCCGTCACGCATTAAATTGTTATTTACACTGACTATTATTAGTGGCAATTGTGCCGCGGATTAAAAAAAAATATGTGAAAAATCCTCTCCGTTTATCATCCGGCGCACAAGCCACGGCGCGCACCACAGAACAGCTCGCTACGGTGGCCCACGGGCACTTGCCCGAAACCAACACCACTTTGCGATTCGGTTGTACTAATACAGACGTTCGTTATACAACCGGCTGGGAGTTTGCCGTGTTCCCCGTGTACGTAGTATTACCCTTAGAAACTAATACATGCGAGTCGAGGGGCGCACACGGCGGCAGAATTACCCGAAAACCCTCGCATGTACGAGCAACTGGCGCCACTGGCGGGTGTTTGGGGAAGTAAATGCTGCGGGGGCACTCTGCGCAGGCGCCAGGCGTTTTTATTCGCTTCGCAAAAGTTAATGTTTAAACATTCCTATTTAGTGTGGAGAGATAAAAAATGAGAGGAAAGCGGATTGGGACTCTCTGGGCGAGGGGAGAGGGATTTGAATCTGTCTGGGTCCGGGATTTTTGGGTGAAAGCAAGGAAATTGGGAGGTGGAGGGGAATTGCCACTTTTGTAACGTACTTTTTCGCGAACGAAGAGTCAAATTTGCGGGCTGTTGGTGGAGAGTTTAAGAGGGGCGAATAAATGTTATCGCATTATCAGCCGCGTTCTGCTTTTACTGCAGCGAAATTTTTGCAGCAGTTCTTGCATTTTCTTTTCTATGTGAATCAGTTATGAAGATTGTTTAAAAATCATAAATACTACGTGTCTTTTTCCTTTCGAATGAAGTGGAATTGTAATCACCGATTGTGACAGTTTTTTCATTTTCAGCGACATTTTAGTTTATACTACAGCGAAATTTTTGTAATACTTTTCTTGCAATTTTCCGCGTTTCTTTAATCGTTGAAATAAATTACGAAGATTGTTCAAACCTCATAAAACCTTTTTTTTACACATTTACAGTTGTGAAGAAATTATTTTTAGGATGGGGAATGACAATTGTCTCTAAAGATGATGTCTGTTTTCAATTAAAAAGCGAAATTCTGACAACATTGTCCAGTGGGGTCTAGGAGTCTCCCCTGGTTCAACACCATCTTTAGAGGTCCTAGCACGCCATTTCTCGACCCGCTCTTTCATTTGAGCCCAAAAAAACATTCATATCTTGTCTGACATCGCTGCTATAAACTCGGGCTTTGAATTGAAGGCCCGAGTTGAAGACCCGAGTTTGTAGCAGCGATGTCAGACAAGGTATGAATGTTTTTTTGGGCTCAAATGAAAGAGCGGGTCGAGAAATGACGTGC